CACTCACTGCTCTGCCCTTCCTCAGGAGAAGCTCATCGTGTCCTGCGAGCAGGAGATCCTGCGGGTGCACTGCCGGGCAGCCAGGACCATCGCCAACCAGGCCGTGCCCTTCAGTGCCTGCACCATGCTGCTGGACTCCGAGGTGTACAACATGCCTCTGGAAAATCAGGTCAGTGCCTGCCTCAGCAGTGAGGGAGGGCCTCAGGAGCTCTGCAGGACCCTGAGGGAGATGGGCTTTTCTGGAGGGATGGAGGGAAGGGTGGAGGCAGGAGTTACTGGTGCTCTCCTTGCTCAGGTCACCCACCACTGCACGCAGGTGCAGGATGTCACCTCCCCCTGAGGGCAGGCTTAGATGGGATAGTGGGAAGGAATTGTTCTCTGTGAGGGTGGAGAGGCCCTGGCACAGGGTGCCCAGAGAATCTGTGGCTTCTCTATCCCTGGAAGTGTCCAAGACCAAGTTGGATGCATTTTGGAGCAAGCTGGGATAGTGGAAGGTGTCCCAGTGCAGGGGGGAATGAGATGGGCTTTAAAGTCCCTTCCAATCCAAATTATTCTGTGACTTGGAGCATCATTTGCCTAATTGTCTAACTGAGTGTAGGATACAGGGAGTTCATGACTGTTAGGAGCAGAGATGGCTCAGCTTTATCACTGAGTCTTGGGACCCTCCATCCTTCTTGGACAGGATCATCTGCACACTGGAAAGGTTTCCTTTACCACACTCTGAGGTGTTTCTCCCTGTGGAAGGAAGAGAAACATTACACTGCTGCATTGCAGGAGGGATCCTGGGCAGGGACAGCATCCTGGGATTTATTAGTGAGCTGTGTATTGATCCAGGAGCTCTGATTTATCCGTCGGCATTTCCCAGCCAAGTGTCTGTGCTATCCTGCAGTCAGAGAGATACAGGTGCTGTGATGGGCTGACATGGACAGACTCCTGCCAAGCAAGGAGAAACAGGGAGTATGGGCACATGGGTGCATCCCCACCTGAGGCTGAAGCCCTGGAAAGCACTGGCAGCAGTGATGTCCATCCTCCCTCCCTGCAGGCACTGCACTTCTGAGGAGTGTGTGCCCCAGGAGGGGCTTGTGAATGTGGCCTGTGAGACCTGTAACTGCTTAAAGCACAAAACTAATCTGTCCCTTTCCTGTCCCGTCCTTAGGGAGACGAAAACAAATCGGTCAGAGACCGTTTCAACGCGCGACAGTTCATTTCCTGGCTGCAGGACGTGGATGACAAGTACGACCGGATGAAGGTGAGAGCTGTGGGAGCCCCGGGCTCCAGACAGGGGCATTCCAGGAGGGTTCTTCTTGTGGCTGGAGCCTGGGAGCTGCCTGAATGGTTTCCAGCACAGAGTGGGTGTCCAGAGATGGTCAGGGCAGTGTTGCATGGGGGTGGATGCTCTGGAGTGCTGACAAGACTTTCAAACCCAAACTTACGGGTTTGCCTCGGCTCCTGCTGGAGCTGGGCTCAGCAGAGATTCCTAATCCAGGTGTCCCCTGTGTGCCACCCCTTACTGCATTTAACTGTGGCTGCCACTCAGCCCTCACGTCCCGTTGTTGTTTCCCCATCCAGACGTGCCTGCTCATGCGACAGCAACACGAAGCAGCTGCCCTGAACGCGGTGCAGAGGATGGAGTGGCAGCTGAAGGTGCAGGAGCTGGACCCCGCGGGGCACAAATCCCTCTGCGTCAACGAGGTGCCCTCGTTCTATGTGCCAATGGTCGACGTGAACGATGACTTTGTGCTCTTGCCGGCATGACAGTTCCAGCCCAGGAGACATCTCTGAACACTGGCAAGGACGGGAGCGCTCCGAGGTCGGGCGGTCGAGCTCACATTCACCCTTAACCGCTTGCTGATGAATCCCTGGTCAGAGGAGGAGGAAGCAGCTATCGGCAGAAAATAAAACAATAAGAAAAATAATTGCACTTTCTTCACGACGTGTCCCTCGCTTCCGGACTGGCGCGGCCCCTGGGGCAGCGGGCCGGGCGCAGCCCCGGGGAGGCTCCGGGCAGCGCGGGCAGCGGGCGCTCAGCGGCCCCGGGACTGGCCGAGGCGCGGAGGGACGAGGCCAAGGACACCGTGTGTGTGTTGCAGAAGCTGCTGAGCGGGGCCAGCAACCACGTGAACCATGTACTTGTGAACACCGTGATTTCCAGCTCTCTGTTTTCCACCGGGCGCGGATCTCCTCTCGGAGAAGCTGCAGTAGGAAACCATGGGGGGAGGGGGGGGGTGTTTGAGTTTCTCGTTCCATCATGGGTATGTCTAAAAAAAAAAACAAAAAACCAAAAAAAAAAAAAATGCTAGAAAAAAAAAATCACAAAAAAAAAATCCAACAATTAGAAACAAAAGGACAGTGTCCGGGTTGGGCAGCGGCGGCTCCGGAGCGGGGACGGCTCCGGGATGTGCCGGCGGCCCCGCAGCAGCCGCTGGGCACGGGCAGAGGAGCCCCGGGGCGGCACGGCCGGGGAGACGGCGACGCAGAGAAAGGACTTTGCCAACTGTGTTTTTAATGGAGTAAAATCCACGTGGTTTATATATTTTTTCCTTTAATCTTGGGCATTTCGTTTCTCTTTCTGAGAACATAACTTGAAAACACTACAGAGCCAATACTCATATAAAGAAAAATTGTATCCCATAAATGCTGTACAGTTTTTATATACATTAACAATGTACTTTTGCTGCCTTCTAGATAATTTATTTTGCAACACATTACTGCACAGTTGTAAATAACTTATGTACTGTAACATCACTTTCAGTTATGTGTAAAGAAATAAATAAATTAATTAAAATTACCTTTGTATTTATAGTTCACCCTGGGCAGCAGTTTCCCTGTCAAGGAAAAGATTGCTCAGATCAGCTGCCCATGGCAGGAGATGGAGCAAGATCAGCTTTAAGGTTCTTTCCAATCCAAACTATTTTATGATTTTAAACATCATTCTTTCTTTGTGTGTCTCCAGGGGTGGGTCATGAGGACAGGGGGACCCCCTGTGTTGGTGAATTCACTGAGCAGGAGATGCTGTTTTGGGGCTGCAGAGTCTGGACAGGGATGGGTGGATCCAGGCAAACTCAGTCCTCACTCAGCAGCTCAGGGATGCAGCTGGAGGCAGATCCATCCCAGTGCCCTTCCAGGACCTCTGTGCCTTCCCTCCTGCTGCTGCCCAGCCTTTCCTGCCAGCCCCAGGCAGCAGTGAGAGGTGCCCCCATGCACCCCCACTGCCAGCTCTGGCTTCTCCAGCCTCCTCTGTTGGGGACCAGAGGGGAGCCCTGGATTCAGCCCCCAGCTCCACCCACTGCTGCCAGCTTTGCAGCCACTTGAGGAATTTTCCATGGTGGAGCAGGGGGATCCTGGAGGATTTCACTCCAATGCATCACAGCAGCTTCAGAAGAGCCAGAGGGGTCCCACCATCCCTGCCCAGCCCTCAGCCCCTGCCTTGGCACCGCTGGCACCAGGACGGGGGCTCACACAGCCTCAGCAGGATGGCAGTGCCATGGCCCAGCTGCAGCAGAGGGATTTTCCCCTCACGCTTTTCCTGGGCTGGGGGATGAGTGTGGAACCAGGGGGTGCTCCTGTGTCAGGAGCTGAAAGCAGCCACAGGTAACACTTGTTCTTGGATTCATTTCCATCCCTGTCTTTATTTTGTTAAACAGCCATAAATTTGTCTCTGTAGTCACAGAGGCCTTTCATGAGCATGTGAAGCTGGAAAGTCCCACAGGCTCATCTGACCGTGGTGCTGGTGACCTTGGGAGTCTCCAGTTTTCCTCCCGGTGTAACTCCCAGATGTGTGTGGGGCTGTGGATCCCTCAGAGGGAGGCAAAACAATGCAGATGGGATTTTTTTTTTTAGTGTGATTTTTCAATGTGAGTTTGCAGGTGTGATTTTTCAGTGTGGCTTTCAATGTGATTTTGCAGATGGAGTTTTTCCACCATTGCAGGTCTGAAGCTGAACACCGAGTGATGCTGCTGCCCCCAGAAATCACATTTGTGAGTAAATTTTAGAAGGAAGAGGGAAGTGGAGCCTGTTTGCAGTTTGGCTGCTCTGTTGGCTCTTCCCACGGGCTCACGTGGTGCTGGGTGCCAGCACGTTCCCTTCCTCAAGGGGCTGTCACTGATTCCCCCGGCCCCCTCTGAGGTCTGGGGGGACCCGGGTGCCTTTGTGGGTGTTCCCAGATGGGTCCTGGAACCCTCGGTTGTGCCCCAGGACCCCCAACACCGGCTGGGCTGGGGGTCCCCAGTCCTGAGAGGGGTCAGGAGCACCATGGAGAGAGGGGCTGAGCTGGGCTGGGGCAGTGAACTGGGGCTTGGAGAGCCAAACTGGGGGGCTTGGGGGGCAAACCAGGCTGGGGGTGCAGAGGGCTGTGGGAACTGGGGCCAGGGTTGGGGGGAGAGATCTGGGGCTGAGGGGGGCAAACTGGGACAGGGATTGGGACTGGGGCTGGGGTTTGGGAACCGGGACAGGGATTCGGGATCGGGGCTGGGGTTTGGGAACCGGGCTGGGGTTTGGGAACCAGGCCAGGGATCTGACTTGTGGCTGGAGTTTTTGAACCAGGCTGGGGAGACAAACCAGGCTTGAGGGGCGATCAGACTGGGACTGAGCCTCGTGTTTGCGGCAGAGTGAACTGGGGGTGG